GCCTGGCAAGGAACCCCAGCAGGAGTCCCCCAGCCAGTGTCCAAGGCACAGTCCTCCATGTCCCTGACCGCAGCCCGTTTGTTTCATCTCCAGGTACCTGGCCATCCGCTACCCACTGCGCTCCCGGGAACTGCGGACTCCCTGTAACGCGGTCGCCGCCATGGCGGTGATCTGGGGCCTCTCTGTGGTCTTCGCGGGTCCGTACCTGAGCTACTACGACCTGATCGAGTGGGAGGCCAGCTACATCTGCATGCCCGGCTGGGAGGAGTGGAAGCGCAAGATCATAGACACCAGTACGTTTGTCTTTGGCTACGTGATCCCCGTGCTGATCATCAGCCTCTCCTACACCAGGACCATCAAGTACCTGTGGACGGCCGTGGACCCCCTGGAGGACATGTCTGAGTCCAAGAAGGCCAAGCGGAAGGTGACCAAGATGATCATCATAGTGACCATCCTCTTCTGCCTGTGCTGGCTGCCCTACCACGTGGTGATCCTGCGCTACCTCTACGGGGACTTCCCCTTCAACCAGGCCACCTACGCCTTCCGGCTACTCTCTCACTGCATGGCCTACGCCAACTCCTGCCTCAACCCCATCGTCTACGCCCTGGTCTCCAAGCACTTCCGCAAGGGCTTCAAGAAGGTCTTCAGCTGCCTCCTGAGGAAGAAGGCCCGCAACAAGGTCCACGTGGTGCACGCTGCCCACACGGTGCCTGGCTTCGAGGCGGGCTCCACGGAGGTGTCCCAGATGAACGAGGAGAACCACGGGCAGCAGAACGGGTGTGAGCTGGATGCAGGAACCCTCATGGTCCAGTCAGGCACCTCCAGGCCTCTTTGCATCTCCTAGTAGTGAGGCTCTGTGCTCTTGGGCAGCTGCACCGTGTGGCCAGCGGCAGGGAGAGGCCTCTGCTCGCTGGATGATGGAGAGGACGTGAGGGACAGTCCCAGAGAGCCCCACGCCTACCCCCGGACTTCAGTTTCTCCTGGCAGGCCATGGACCCAGCGGTGTCCGAGCACTGCTACGGAGTGTCCCATGTGAGAATGGGCCTGCCAGGGAAGGAACAGACCTGGGCTTACACCAGAGCCACGGCCCTGCTGGACTAAAGTTCCCTGCCTTTGTGAACGGAGCAGAGACTGGCAGCACCGGCCCAGCTCCTCTGATTGCGCCCAGGTTGGCTGTCAGTGCTCTCTGCTCTCTGCTCCTTCGTTGCAGCCTCGCTCACTAATGCCCGTCCCTGCCTTGCTCTGGCTGGGCAGCTCTGCTTTTTGCCTCATTGACGTGGCTTCTTGTTCTGCCAGCATTTCTTCCCATCTCCTGCTCCTGACACAGTGTGGCTGGGGGCAGCTTCCCAGCCCCGTGCTCGTCCCCCTGCACTCATGCGCTGGCAGGACCTCAGCAGCCTACGGGCAGATGGTTGCTGGGACGACTGTGCCAGTTTATTGATTAGGCGAGGGGCCTCGCTCGGAGAGGAGAGCACAGAAACTCAGACCGTGCGCATTTCCCACCACACCACTGACTCCACTGTCCCAGCCACGTGCTCGTCCCCCTGCACCCATGACCGTGACCACGTGCTTGCCTTCAGACCCATGATCCTTGCCCACTTACTCCCCACCAGCCCTGCACAGCCAGCTCCTGCCCACATGCCCCCCCCAAGGGTGTTGTTCACCCTGAAACACCTGCCACAAACTCTCCACCTGCCACGGGCCCAGCTCCAAGCATGGGGAGAATCCTCCCAGCGCAGCCTTTCTGTTTGATCTGCCCACTTCCCCGGCGCAGCCTTCCTCGGTGCTTGTGCTCTGCAGTGCAGGCGGGGGCTCAGCAGCCTGTGCCAGTTTACTGATTAGGCCGTGGCAAGCCCGACACTGTAACCTGTGTGCCCCCCTGCAAGTAATCCCAGCACAGGCGCTCGGCTGCATCTGGGGCTGCCCGTGCCAGGGCTCTCCTTTGCACGCACGAGGGGCTCTCCTTTGCACGCGCGAGGGAGACGGGGCTGTACTGACTGTAGAAGTGTCTCTCTAACCCCCAGCAAATAAAGGCGGTTTCCTAATTTGGATAGCGATGGGTCCTCTGTCGCTGTTTGTTGTGCGAGGAGCAGCGATGAGTCCAGGCTGCAAAATGCAATCCAGGAAGGTGAAAAAGGCAACCAGGACAGGGCCTTTTGAATGCTGGATCAGCCTCTTCTCCCACCCCCACTCCTCTGCCCCCAGCCCCTGGGAATGCTGGATCCCTGGGCAGCCCCTGCGGGGAGGGAGAAGACGGCACTGCTACTGCTTTGTGAGCGCCCTGAGCTTGGTCCATGCCACGTTGTTTGGATCAACCCCTCCCTGGCTCACAGCGCATGGCAAAGCCCCTTCTTCTCACCAGCACTTTCCAGTCTCCTGTCAGCGGTCACGTGTGCAGAGCGCACTGGGCTAGCAGACATCTGTAGGACTGCCTCCTCCCCTGGTGTAAATCAGAGGGTGCTGAGCTACACCGGGGAGGATCTGGCCCATTGGCTCTGCTCTCCGCCCTTCATCCATCGGCTACAGCTCACCTGCCCTCCTGAAAGGGGCGCAGTTAGCTGACTGGACCCTGCGCCTGTAGTGGTAACCTGAACCAGCTCAGGTGGCCACCGCTGCCCTAGAACGCACAGTCGGCAGCCAGGGACAGCTGCTTCTAGAGCCGCCTGAGGTGGGGCTGCAGGCACTCGGCACCCCCATGTGACAATGGTAGGACTGTGTGAGCTCAGGCACCATTTCCACCTGCCTTGGGGAGGGGGAAGGAATGGGAAGCGCCCGCTGATGTTCTCACCATCGAGACGTTATGGTTTGTCTTGGCAGAAGGGCTAATGACACCGCTGATAAATATTAACAGCCCCAGGGTCCCAGCTGGGGCCTAGAGATTAGGAGTCGGCTGCTTCGTGGATGGGAGAGAAGACAGAGCCGGCATGGCCCAGAACAGAGCACCGCATGGGGACCTTTCCAGAGCCTGCTTTTGGTATTGCTGCCAAAGCGCCCCTCCCCTCCCCCAGGCAGGCATGTCTCAGCCGGAACTGCACAGTCAAGTAGCTTCAATTTACTGACCAGCAGCTTGTGGAAGCCCCTCAGAGCTGCTGCGTCAAGAGGAGCAGTGACTCAGGAGGCAGTTTATTACAGAGCCCAGCGGAAGCTCCCTAGTTAACGCTGAAACTCACTTCCAGCCCTCACCAGTCAACTTCCCTCCGGCTTGGGGAGGGGGAAATGAAAAACTCCCACTGCGAAATGCCCTGGCTCACTCCCATGCCCTGGGAGTATTGCTGGGCAGAAGTTACTCCAGAGGAAAATGGCGGGAACTTTTCTGCCGTGTGGAAACAAGGCCTGGGCTCTAGGGGATACCTGACAACATAACCCAGAACTGCCCTGAGCCATCACTCCATCAGCTGAAAACTACACCCCAGCCCTGGCGGCCACCAGGAAGTACAGCTTCCCCTCTGAGAAAACTACACCCCAACCCTGGAGGCCACCAGGAAGTACAGTTTCCCCTCTGAGAAAACTACACCCCAGCCCTGGAGGCCACCAGGAAGTACAGTTTCCCCTCTGAGAAAACTACACCCCAGCCCTGGAGGCCACCAGGAAGTACAGTTTCCCCTCTGAGAAAACTACACCCCAGCCCTGGAGGCCACCAGGAAGTACAGTTTCCCCTCTGAGAAAACTACACCCCAGCCCTGGAGGCCACCAGGAAGTACAGTTTCCCCTCTGAGAAAACTACACCCCAGCCCTGGAGGCCACCAGGAAGTACAGTTTCCCCTCTGAGAAAACTACACCCCAGCCCTGGAGGCCACCAGGAAGTACAGTTTCCCCTCTGAGAAAACTACACCCCAGCCCTGGAGGCCACCAGGAAGTACAGTTTCCCCTCTGAGAAAACTACACCCCAGCCCTGGAGGCCACCAGGAAGTACAGTTTCCCCTCTGAGAAAACTACACCCCAGCCCTGGAGGCCACCAGGAAGTACAGTTTCCCCTCTGAGAAAACTACACCCCAGCCCTGGAGGCCACCAGGAAGTACAGTTTCCCCTCTGAGAAAACTACACCCCAGCCCTGGAGGCCACCAGGAAGTACAGTTTCCCCTCTGAGAAAACTACTGCGGCACAAGAGCGCGCCAGTGTAGACATAGCCTAAGTGTGTGGGTGGAAAAGAAAACTTAGAACAAAGAGTGGAAAGGACCCCAGCACTGGTTTGGGAAAACACCACAAGCATGCTTGGAAAACGTAGGCCCAGGAGCAAACCCCCCATCCCAGAGTCTGCTGGGCCATGCTCTTTGCCTCAGCCTCTCTCACCTTGTGGTGTGGAAATGTGACAAACCAGGGTCCCTTTGTTGCCCCGTCCTCGCCCCCCCATTGCACACCACTCACCGTTATTGTCCTTCCTAGCCAGGGCAGGGAGCTCCGAGGTACCTTCGCAGGAGTTCGCCTCCCACCTCGGGGGGAGGCAGGGAAGGCGCTGGGCGCTGCCACAGCCGTGGTTGCATGTGCCACTCACCTTCCACCACCGACCCCTTTGCCGCTCTTGGGGATTTCAGCTGTTCCGGGGGGAGCCTCACTGCTACTGTAGGCTGGACAGTCTCTTTCAGCAGGGATGCCATAAGCAGGCCTGAGGCTTCACACTCAACCCTCCATTAGCAATTTCAGCACTACTGAGCCACAGCAAGACTCTTAACTGAATTTTAATCGGGGCAAGGGGATGGGTCACGTAGCATGTAGGCCCTTAGGAAAAGCACCTCCCCTAAGTCGCGCTCCCATTCCACTGGGCTTTGGGACCCCTACCTCCTGCTTAGGGTGTGCAGTTCAGTCGAGCCTGCGCCTCTCCAACGGCACGCCAAGCTCAGGTCTGCTGCTCGTTATGCGCACAAGGACGGCACTTCATTCCCCTGCACCCAATAACACCGGCCCAAAGGGACACTGTGGACAAGGCAGCTCCCTCATAGAGAATGCCTGGGCAGAGTGGGCGTGTCTATGCAAACAAGGCTGGTCCCTGACGGCTCCTCCCCCAGCTCATCCCTAGATACCAGGGGTGAGCTCACGGAGACCCTGTTTACGTGACCAGAGCCATCCTGTCCATAGGTCAGTGCGGGGTGGCCTCCCCAGACCCCATGTTTTGGGGGGTGCAGAGGCCGCCTCAACAGCCCTATGGATGGGACAGCCCCCCCTATTGATGTTAGCCGCAGGGCCCATGGTGGCCCGAGGGCGGGGGCTGGCAGCAGGGGTTGGGCCCCCTGCACTCACTGGAGGGGTGAAAGCAGTGGTGAAGCGGAGCGACCCGCCTGGGAGATGGGTGGCAGAGCAGAGCAGGCTGCTGCATCGCTCCACTTCCTGCAGCTCCGGCCACTGCAGTGAGTGCAGGGGGCCCAACCCCTGCTGCCACCCGCCGTCAGGCCCCCGTAATCTCCTGGGGTACCACAGGGACGGGAGGAGGCAGGACGGGGCCAGGCTGAGGCTCTCATTCTCTCTCCAGTCGCTAGGCCATGTGCCCGGAGCCAGCAAAGGCTCACGTTTGCCTGTTCAGAAATCCTACAGCGACCCAGTCAGGGGCACTGCTGCAGACGCCGGAGGACACGTCAGTCTCTTTGCTGCAGTCAGGGTAATCTCCTGGGGTACCACAGGGACGGGAGGAGGCAGGACGGGGCCAGGCTGAGGCTCTCATTCTCTCTCCAGTCGCTAGGCCATGTGCCCGGAGCCAGCAAAGGCTCACGTTTGCCTGTTCAGAAATCCTACAGCGACCCAGTCAGGGGCACTGCTGCAGACGCCGGAGGACACGTCAGTCTCTTTGCTGCAGTCAGGTTTGGGTCTGGGAACTCCCTGGCCCACAGGCGCAGGAACTAGGGTGCGGGGGTGTGTGTGTGCTGCAGCACCCCCGGGTTTGGCACACGTCCTGGCTGCTAGCCCTGCCTCTAGGGGTTCTGCTGCTGGGCCAGGTCTTGGCTGCCATCCTTACTGCTGGGGGCTCCGCTGCTGGCCCTGGTCCTGGATGCCAGTCCTGCACCCAGAGGGCTCCACTGCTGGCCTGTGGGTCCCAGCAGCCAATCCTCTGCCCAGCTGCCAGTCCCACACACAGGACGCTGCTCCCGGCCCTGAGCCCAAGGTCCAGATTGCCAGCTCCATGCCTGGCATCCTCCCCCAGCTGTGGCCCCAGCCTCAGCCCCCTGATCCCGTCCATATTCCCCCTCCCCATGGATGGGACAGCCCTGCTCCAGGTCCCAGCTCTAAGGAGTGGTCAGAGGCATGGACAGAAGCAAGGGGGGTGCAGCTGAGCAGCCGCACTCCAAGAACTGCCCTGCCCTGGAAGCACAGAAGGCTCTGACCTCTACCGAGAAGAGACTAGCTCCTGCTGTGAGGGGTTGCCCTCACTTGGCGAGTGTGTTCCGTGCTGCACTTACTCCTGGCAGGGAACTTCCCCCCAGGCCTGCTCCAGCCAGCAACGGATCTGCCCCTGGGGAGTAGGGCTCCACGTCCCATTGCAGAAGTTCAGCTCCCCTCAAATTAAGGGCTTATCAATGCAACAGCTGCTGCAGAGCCTCAGCTCTGTTGTGCTGAGCGTCGCAGCTTCCTTCATCCCCAATGGGACTGTCTGTTAACTGCCTTAATCCAACTTCCCCAGAGGAGGGAGGTAGCCCTGGGAAGGACTTTTCCACTCACCTAGCTGAGAGGACACCGTGGGTCAGGAACTCAGGTCGACTTAACTGCCGTGCTGGGGGCGTGTCCATTTCCAGATTCTAGCTCAGTCTATTTTTTAAGCACATACCGTGCGGTTTGGAAATCCACTCGCTCATTCCCCCAGGCCCAGCTGAGGGCTCCCAGCCAGCTGCCC